ACACCCCCCTAAATTAGTGAAACAGTACTAGAATTTATAATGTATTTTGGTGAGTTGGCTTTGTAGAAGATATATTTACAAAAAAGTACTTGTTCTTTGTACTATTTATAAATACCTGGAAATAGAAAGGGGGAAATATCTCATTCACATTAACAAAAAGTGTCACATATTTAGGAATAAGTTTAATTAAAAAGACACTGAATATGAATAAAGAACTTAAAAAGAACTATAAAATCTTAGTGAAATACGTAAAATAAAATATGAAAGAAAAATACACATATTCTGAGATTAAAGATTTAACATCATAAAAAGTTACTTTCTAAAAATTATTAGGTATATAATACACCAACAATGGATTATCTTAAAAAAAGAAAAGAAAAGAAAAAGGGTCGCCTGGGTGGCTCAGTTGGTTGGGCATCCGACTTTGGCTGAGGTCATGATTTCATGGTTCGTGGGTTCGAGCCAGGCGTCAGACTCTGTGCTGACAGCTAGCTCAGAGCCTGAAGCCTGCTTCAGATTCTGTATCTCCCCTTCTCTTTGACCCTCCCCTGCTCACACAGTCTCTCTCTCTCTCTCTCTCTCAGAAATAAATACAAAACATTAAAAAACAATAGATGATCTAAAAAGGACTAGAGAATATTATATACCCTCACACACACAAGTACACAATAGAATATTATTCCACCTTAAAAGGGAAAGAAATCCTGTCATTTGCAACAACATGGATGGATCTTGAGTGGCATTATACTAAATGAAATAAGTCAAAAAAAGACAAATACTGTATAATCTCATTCCTATGTGGAACCTCAAAACATCAAACTCAGAAACAAAAGAGTAGAATGGTGATTACCAGGGACTGAAGGGTTGGGGCAGTGGGAAATGTTGGTCAAAGGGTACAGACTTCCAGTTATAAGATGAATAAGTCCATAAGATGAATAAGTTCTGGGGAATCTAAAGTACAGCATGGTGACTGTAGTTAACAATACTGTATTATATACTGGAAGGCTGCTCTGAAAGTAAATCTTAAATGTTCTCACTATACACACACATACACACAAATGGTCATCATGTGAGGGGATGAAGATGTGAACTAACCTTATTGCGGCAGTCACTTCACACTTCACAGTATATATGTGGATCAAATCACCACATTGTGCACCTTAAGCTTAAATGTTAATTATAGCTCAATAAAGCCAGAGGAGAAAAGAATGTAAGAGAGAACATGCAAATGTGGCAAAGTGTTGATAGTGGTGAATCTACAGGAAGGGTATATGTGAGTTATTATAATATTTTTACAACTTTTATGTAAGTTAAAATTTTTTTCTTGAAAATAAAAAGTTTGATTAGTTTTCTTAAGAAAAAATAACAAGGAAGAATTGTCATACCAGATATCAAATCATCAAATCAATTAAGTCTACTAGGTATTTGTGTTAAAATAGACAAAGATGACAAGTTGAACAGAAGAAGGAGCCTAGATAGAATTTCAGATGGATTAAAAATTTTCAAATGAATAGCAAAACAGTATGTGTGTTTATAAATATAACTTATAAAAATTTGGATGGGTAGATGGTAAATTGTTCATATGAGTCAATGGAACAATGTATGGCAGGAAAGAAGTGAAGAGAAGGAGAAAGAAACCAATCCAAAAAGGAAAGGAAAAAAGTACCACATTAACAAAAAACAGGATGTAAGATTTTATCAGAGGTGTTGATGTAAAATTATATAAGTATGTGCTTGCTTATTTTTTATTTTTATTTTTTAAAGTTTATTTATTTAAGTAGTTTCTACACACAGTGTGGGGCTCCAACTCATGACCCCTAGATCAAGAGTCACATATTCTTCTGACTGAGTCAGCCAGGTGCTCTTTGATTTGTTTAAAAATAGACATTTTAAATGAAAAAACAGGTAAGATTTGCATAAAAATTCCATTACATCCTTGGTAATTGCATGGATATGAATTTGTTTTAGCTAATATTTAATCAAAAAGGTAAAATTCATTTTAGTTAGTATATTTTAAAATAATTTGTGAGTTGTGATTTACATTTATATATTTACATTTTTTGTTGATACTATTCTCAGTTCCCAAAAACGAACCATTCATTCTTTTATGCGCAAGAGAAATGATAGAAATAGTAATACAGGGGTGTCTGGATGGCTCAGTTGGTTGAGCGTTTGACTTCAGCTCAGGTCATGATCTCACAGTTTGTGGGTTCGAGCCCCAGGTCGGGCTCTGTGCTGACAGCTCAGAGCCTGGAGCCTGCTTCAGATTCTGTGTTCCCCTCCCTCTCTGCCTTGTCTCTATTTATGCTCTGTCTCAAAAATAAATAAAACATTAAAAAAAAAAAGAAATAGTAATACCAATACAACAATTCAAAATAATCCTATGTAAATTGCAGGCATGCCTTTTGTGCAAATACAGGATGTGAATCCATAGTGCTAAGTGACTGTGCAAGGACTCTTGCACAAGCAACCCCCAAAAGAAAAGCATCAATGAAATCACTCTCCAAATTTTATCTGCTTTTAAAAAAATGTTTATTTATTTTTGAGAGAGAGAGAAAGACAGAGCACGAATGGGAGAGGGGCAGAGAGAGAGAGGGAGACACAGAATCCGAAGCAGACTCCAGGCTCTGAGCTGTCAGCACAGAGCCCCACACAGGGCTCAACTCATGAACTATGAGATCATGATCTGAGATGAAGTCAGACGCTTAACAGAGTGAGCCACCCAGGTGCCCCCAAATTTTATTTGCTTTAAACAATTCTCTAATTCAGCGAACAATTTGTCTGAAATTTATGTGTCAGAGCCCAAGATTTAGCTTCATTGTCTACCTAGGAGTAATTTACCTGGATTATGGGAGAAGTATAACAAGGTGAGTATACTAACTAGAAGAAGTAGTGATCAGTGTTATTGTAGATCTAGGGCATTCCTCCAAACAGTAGTCCTGGCCTCTCTCTATAAATTACCATGCATCTACAAACTATAGTTTTGGATGGGAACTGCCAAATGTGTTTTGAAGCAGGTGCTTCTGTTTCCTTAATCTCTAAAAGTCCTTCAAATGGGACTGGTTTGAGAAGCCTGATTTTTACAGCACCAGCTTAGAGAATAAATATAGCTTCCTAGCTGAAAAATCCATGTGTTGCAAATGCCTCTTCACTGCCTTGATTCAGATCTCAGCCTGCACACAGAGCATCTTACCTGTCTGGAAAGGTAGCTGTCCCATGTCTTACTTCCTCTTTCAGTGCTGTGGTCATTGTTGTTTGGTCTATCTCCAAGAATCTGCATCTTTCTCTGAATGTTGGTAATTGTTCCCATTACATGTCTTCCATCTTCTTTTTCAGATGACCCTCAGATATGCTATTTTACAAACATTTCTAGGGAAATAATAGTTCCTCTTGCCCGAGGCACATTTATTTTTTGCGCTTAGCTGCACAGACCTGGATACTGCTTTTTATTGCTTCAGGGAAGGGCAGAGATACAACCAAATTATAGGCAAGCTGGCCTAGCTTTCCTTATCTGTCCCTTTCTCAGACGGTTCAAGGTCATCCTCTACTCCCAGCCATATTCTCAACCATACTTACGTAGTGTGACAGAATTCCTATTCCTTCCTGTCCTTCAACACCCCTCCAATGCCTCTGGGTAGAATGGAGGAGAAATGCAGTAGCAGCCCTTCCATTGTGTTTCTGAACATGTATTTCTTTGCTATCAGGACTTTCTGGTCATCTCTCTTGGCACCAAGATCCTCTACACTCATTTCACTCATGCAGCTTCATATACTGGTTATCCATGATATAGAGAAAACTGAGGGGAGTTTGCTCTCAATCTAGGGAGTTATGGGATATAACAATTTGGAATACCTTCAGTTTGGAAGTCTTTAATAGTTTGGTTGGGACAGATACCCACTGCAATATAAGAAACCAGGTTTAGAGATCAGAATAAAGAGGATGAGCTCTGGCATGAAAGGAGGCTGATAGCTATTGGCACATGACATGAAGCTTGATGCCAGCAAGTTGGAGAAATTATTCAGAAGTAGTACTCTCAACTTTAGTTGTTCAGGGTCACTGTTCTTAAAAAGATCAGATCCAGAATCTTGTTTTATAAGCTCTAGATATATCTTAGTCTAATCTTAAGGTGCTCAAAGTCCTCTTTACACTGGCTTGGGTTACTCTCTTTTTAACCATCTTGGCCAACTCTGAGGCTGTCTACAAGTTTCTATACCCATGCACAAATCTTCTACAAGTTATTTGTTTTGGATTTACATAATGTCGTAATTAACACCAATATAGTATCTGGCTATTTATGTAGTGGTGGTTGGGGGTGGAGAGCCTGGATAATAGCTTGTAGGAGAGCTAGATACTGTTATACTGTTTTCCTAAAATAAGAAGTCTCTGGATCCAAGTTATATCAGATTCTTATAGTCTATGTTGCTATGGTATATCCCTACTCCAGAGCCCCCAGCTATGAACCACCATGTCAAGGGACTCTTCCTTTTTTCCATATCTTGGTTGACTGGACAAGTGCCAACTCCAATCCTGGTATTATGGCATGTAATGACAGACACTCCTTTTCCATATTCTGTATGTCTCTAGAGGGGAGGGTGTTTTGGCCAGGACCCTTAGTTTATTTTCTGATTGCCTCACTTGTATTACCCCTGAGGCCTCCTTTGTTCCTAAAGTAGGCTAGGGACATCTGCTTCCTAGAACCAAATCTAAAGAAACAAAGGTACATAACAAAGCCAAATGGGAACAGAATCTTGCTTGGAACTCTTCCTGGGCAGAAAACAATAACTGGTATGGACTAGAGATTAGGGGAGGAGAAGGAAAAATGGGGTAAAAGTACAAAAGGAAGCTGGCAGGCTCAGTGTTTCTGTTTTGGCATGACCAGTCTCTCTTCATCCTCTTCCTGGATGTAGGGCTTGGTGCCAGTGCCCCTGAGGCTTTCTCCACAAATAAAAGGAGGTGAAGCTGTCTGGTGCCCCCATTTCAGGTTCTTGGGGGCAGCCAAAATGATGTCCTTTGTCTCGCTGCTCCTGGTTGGCATCATGTTCCCTGCCATCCAGGGGAAGCAATTTACAAAATGTGAGCTGTCCCAGGTGCTGAAAGACATGGATGGCTATGGAGGCATTGCTTTGCCTGAATGTAAGTTCTCTGCTGCCTTGCTACATCCATTCTTCATCTGTGTCTCTCTTTTACCCACCTTTTCCTCTCCACTTTTATCCAATTATCGAATAATCATTTTATCTTATCTGCTCAATCTTTTTATTATATATTTTTTGGAACTCTTCTTTTCATCTCGTCAGTATACTTTGTGGTTTGCAATATTTGGAGATTGGCTAGAGAGCCTTTCTATGTCTGGTAATATAGATTCTCATTTATGCTATAAATGCATAATTTTTAGTCACCTCTGTGATACCGCCTTCTCGTCTTTCTCTCAGGGATCTGTACCATATTTCATACTAGTGGTTATGATACACAAACCATAGTCAATGACAACGGCAGCACAGAATATGGACTCTTCCAGATCAATAATAAATTTTGGTGCAGGGACAACCAGATCCCTCAGTCAAGGAACATCTGTGACATCTCCTGTGACAGTGAGTAGCCGCTTTTATCTTGTTCCTCTGTTTTCCTGGAGCCTACCTCTGGGATAATCTCATTTTTGGTGTCAAGGACACTCCTGGCTTCACTGCCTTATACTCCATTTCAACTATGGGGCTTGACTTGACAGAATTTTCATGTTCACTAAATCCCCAGACAGTCTCTGAAGTTCACAGGTAGATGATCTGAGATGTCTGGGATTCTTGAAGTACAATAGCCTGCATTTTCAGAGTAAGTCAGTTGATGAAGTTGACAGTTCTCTGAAGACGTCCAAGAGAAGTGAGGGAATCTTTATCTGGAATGGGGAGCATTATTGTATTGCCTTTCTCATAAAGGCAACAGGCATAAGTCTCCAGTTCAGAGAAGGGCTAGACCTAATAGATCCAGGGAAGAGGGAAACACATTATCTTTCTGGGTAATACTTAGCTCTCTCATTCCTCTCCTTGTAACTCTTGCCAGAGTTCCTGGATGATGACCTTACTGATGACATGATTTGTGCCAAGAAGATCCTGGATAAGGAAGGAATTGACTACTGGTAAATCCCCATTCTATTTTATACTTTTCCCTTGCCCTCCTTTTTTTCACTCCTTTAGTCCAGCACTACTGCCCTCCCTTTCTATCTGCTGGCATTTAATTTGGAATGTCGTTTTCAAAACAAAACTCATCAAGAAGATTCAGGTTTCCAATTTTTCAAGCCTCCCTCACACCACTCCTGTTTAACAATATTCCTAATAAGCATAGGGAAGAGAAGGCTGAGACCTATGGCTCCCTTCACCTGGACATGGACATCTAATTCTGCTTGTTTTAGTCCTAGACACTGAAGCGAGCCCTTGATACCACTGCATGACTTTTCCAGCCCTATAATTTTTTTTTTTTGGAGTTTTAAAAGTGGATCCTACTTCACAAGTGTCCCTTGCCATCTGGCTAGGAATGTCCTTCTGTAATTTTCATCCAAACTCTTCCACCTTGACTGTCTTGGGGATTAAGCTAGATGGAAGTTTGAGCTAAGATCCAGTCATCCAACTTGTCCTGTCTTTTTTTCCATTATCAGGTTGGCCCATAAACCACTCTGCTCTGAGAAGCTGGAACAGTGGCACTGTGAGTTGTGAGTGCCTGCTGTCTTTGCTGTTTCTGCCCTCTGTACGTTCCTGGAATGCCTCTCCCCTAAGGCTACCTCAGTTTGCTTCTTTCTACCCCCTTGAAGCTGATTTGTCTCTGAGCCCTGAACCCTGTAGTAACACCATTGGACACTTGAGAATGATTCTCCAGGGATGTGTGACTGGTACACTGGACTTTTGACCCTTTGTTAGTGACCCCTGATGGCACTTTGACCACACAATGGATTCCATCCCTGTCTTGAATAAAGGGCCTGATTTTGAATGGCTGGCTGTATTTTCTTCCTAGAGGGAGGAGGAGGAAATAGCATGAGTGGGTGGATCCTGAAGCCATAAGTCATAGCCACCTTCCATCTCTACTGGAAAGGAAATAGGCTGAAATTATAATAGAAAGATGGAGGTTACTTTCTGTTCCAACTCAATTCAACAAACTTATTGATCATCTAACACTTCAAGAAACTATAGAGGGAGTAAAAAATTGGCAAAAAGGTCTCTTCCCTCAAGGACTAGTAGGAAAGATAAGATAAACATTAATAAATAATTATAATACAAGGGATAATGTCATAACATCATAAGAGAGTTTAGAAATGTGCTCCAAACATTCATAAGAGAAAAGATACTTTATATTGGGGGGTGTGCTGTGGAAAAAGAGATCAAGGAAGGATTCATGAAAGGAGTGTCATTTAAGCTGGTTTTGAAATATGGGTTGGATTTTGACTGACAGAGATGTGGGATGGGAGAAGGACATCAAGGATCTGAAAAGGATGACCTGAATGGATTGAGGGAGAGTTCAGTCCTAAAGTCTCACACTTTAGGAAACCTGGGCATGTCATCTCTTAAAAGGAGGGTTTTGGTCCAGGTGGGTTTTATTTTGTTTTTTCTTTTTTCTTTTTCTTTTTTTTATATCCCTTACCCTCGAAATAAGGAAATATCCTTCACAAAATTCTGTGAGAGGAACAGAAGACCCTTATAGTAAGCTCAGCAATTGAAGAATCTGGACATTGGGGCCCTTTGGTTTGAGCCCTGCATTCCATTACTTCTCGTTGATTCCCTTACTTTTTTTTTAGTTTTATTTTTAAGTAATCTCTATATCGAATATAGGGCTTGAACTCAAAACCCCACAATCAAGGGTCACATGCTCTACTGACTGAGCCAGACAGGTGCCTCTGCTTTGCTTATTTTTAAGGAGGATTTATCCTAATAATATAAGAAATGTGAAAGGAGAAGAATCAGGATATTGAGTCCTAAGGTCTGTTTCTGCTACTCATTGATGGTGCAAACCTGGGCATGTCATCTCTGTCCCCTCTGCTTCAATTTCCTCATCTTAAAAGGAGGGTTTTGGTTTAGGTATTTTTTTGTTTTTGATATCCCTTCCTGCTTTGACAATCCAGCATTCCAAAACTCCAGTCTAAAGTACCACATTTATGTACAGATGGCTACCAAGGTCATTAAAATATGCTCAACCTCACTCATAATTAGGGAAATATGAATCAAAGCTATTATGAGTTATCACCTCACACCTGTCAGAATGGCCAAGATAAATAACATAGGAAACAACTGGTGTTGGTGATGATGCAGAGAAAGGGCAACCCTCTTAAAACGTTGGTGGTAATGGGGAAACTAGTGCAGCCACTCTGGAAAACAGCATTGAGGTTCCTAAAAAATTAAAGTAGAACTACTCTACAACCCAGCAATTGCACTACTAAGTATTTACCAAAGGATACAAAAGTACTAATTCAAAGGGATACATGCACCCTGATATTTATAGTAGCATTATCAACAATAGCCAAATTTTGGAAAGAGCCCAAATGTCCACTGACTAATGAATGGATAAAGGAGATGTGGTACACACACACGAATATTACTCAGCCATCAAAAATAATAAAATACTGCCATTTGCAACGACTTGGATGGAGCTAGAGTGTATTATGCTTACTGAAATAGGTCAGTCAGAGAAAGACAAACATATGATTTCACTAATGTGTACTTGTTCTGATGAGCACTGGTGCTGTATGTAAGTGATGAATTACTAAATTCTACACCCAAAATTAATATAACACTGTATATTAGCTAACTGGAACTTAAATATAAACTTGAAGAAAAAAAATAAATTACCACATTTCTGAATTAGCTGAATTATCTTCTACTTCCTGTCTTCCTTAGATGCCTAATATACCTGATTGCACTCCTCCCACCCCTATACCAAAAGGGGCTTTTGGCAGTCAGATCATACTTCTCTTGTTTCAGAGACAATCAGTTTCCAACTGAAGTCCCTATGGCCTGTTTAGGGACCGATAGTGTCATGGAAGGGGTGGAGAGGTCATCCCTCTCCTATACTATGAAAAGAGACTCTCAGGAAATAGCCTGGTATTCATGATGTGATTTTAGTGTGAATTTAAACACAATGTGATGTATATCCCAGGAGTATTCCCCTATGGGACCAAAGGATTTACCCAACTCTACAGGTTTTAGGAGTGACCCCTTTGTATGGGTGGGTGTGGGAGGACAGGGTCAGATGGCCATTCCTCCTACTGAGCTCACGTAGCTACTTCTTACTTATTACCCTGCTTTAGTTACTTTTCAGGAAGGCAAATGGTCTGGAAATATAAGGGACCTGCTTCGCCAAGTGGACAGAGCAGAAATGCAGCAAAGGCTGGGACCTGTGCTCAGTCTCATTGCTCCAGCTTTCATTCCACAGAGAAGACCAGGAAACGTCACCTGTAGGTGGACCATATATGAGTCCATAATCTGAAGAGGACTTTGTTAGAGGAAATTGACAACAAATTTATTTTCAGAGAGTATCTTAGCCTGAATTTCAGTACAGAGGGAAGCCATGGAGCTGGCATGGAAGTAGTCCTGACTGGTGCAGACCTCTTGGCCTTCAATAGAAGCAAGACAGGAAAGTGCTGTTGTTCTCTTCCTGAGAACAGTCTTGGGAGCTGAAAGGGAGATGGGTGGCAGCTGAGAATCTGCTCTGTTTCTCCAACTCCTTCTCCTTCTTTAGACCTAGAACAAGTCTTTTTTTTTTTTTTTTGGCCTGAACAAGTCTTGAACCAGGCAGGGATCTGAAGTGGTCCAGGCTCAGGTGAGCAGTGGGGAGGCTCAGGGCAGGGCTGACAGAGTCCATCCTCTAATGGAGCGCTGTGTGATGACTCAACAATATAGACTCCCTTTCTCCCTTTCTATCCCAATTTCTCCTCCATGCTACTTTCCTCTGACATCTAGACATAATTTCCTTTTGGATAAGTGCCCAGAAGTGGAATTACTGTATCATATGGTAGTTCTAAATATTTTGAGGAACCTCCACACTTCTTTGTGGCAATTTTCTTGAGTGGTGACTGAGCCCCCTAGGATGGGTGTCATGTGCTCTGTGGAGGTTTTTGTATCTCACTTCATTGGAGGAGGACAGTGGGGTCAGAGGAACTAATGCTTCTGTTTTTAGAAGAAAGAACACTGAGATAGCTGGTGATAGGTCTTCCTGCCTCCTCTTCCTTTGCACCACTGTTTCTCCTGTTATGAGGAGGCAGTGGAGCTTGGTTAAAAGGTAAGCCCAAGCTTCCGGGCCATCACTCTCCTGAGGGCTGCTTTCACTTCTTGGTTCTTCAGACTGTAGATGAGGGGGTTTAGCAATGGGGTCACCACACTGTACTGCACAGAGAGCACTTGCTCCAGGGCTGAGCCAGATGCTGGGGTCATGTACCTTGAAGGGAATGGCACAGAGGAGTAAACTGAGCTCAGAACAGTGGCCACAATACACGTTGGCAGGCATGGTCCATCCCATCCCAGTCTCTGCAAAGTGGGTCCTCAGAGCTGAATTGACTACCAATGGTAGCAGCATCTAGATATGACTGTATGATCACTGATGAGTCAATCATTTCCACCTTCAAATGCCTCCAAACATGAGTTTTCTTATACAGAGCATTATAAGAGCTGCCCCGAGAAAAAAGAAAATTCTGTGGCACGTCAAGGGCTGCAGATTGGAACAAAACTAATAATTTCATGCATTTCTTTAGTACTTCATCTGCTTCAAAGCACCTTTTCTTAATAGTTTTGATAAACATATGAGGATAAAAATATGAGGATTTTTTTCTCTTCTTTTCCCTGTATATACCATGTATCTTCTCATCCTGTGAGGATTGTTTCTTGCAAAAGTGTATGCTTCTCTAATAATGCTGTTATTGTTCCCAACATTTACACTCTGGGAATTACCTTCAGTCACAGCATATTATTTTATATAATGCTTATTGGAACAAGCATTTGTCCTTTTAGGTACATTTTTCTTTGGCTTAGAAAAGAAGCCAAGCTTGGTAAATAAAGTGGAAAATAAAAATATGCTAAGCACAAGATACAAATCCAAAATAATAATAAATCTTGGAGTGAATTTCGTTAAGGATTACTGGGAGTATTTCCCAAAGAAGCAATACATTTTTTTTTTTTTTGTAACAGTGCCATCATCATTGGAATGTTCTTTGTGGGTTCAAGTGGGCTTGATTTAAAAACATATTCATTTTACTGTCATTATTTTTCATCTATCCCTCCTAACATTTTTGTGAGGTAGGTAGGAGAAATCTTATTGTCTCCTTATGGCATATGAGGAAAATGAGACAGAGAGAAGTAAAGAGATTTTCCCACTGCCTCAGCTGAGCTCTTCTCAACTATTCCTTATTATCCTTTTCCACCCTTGCATTCTTTCCAAGTAACAACCATGTGAGGAAATATGGAGCAATTTGAACAAATCCATCTCCAGTTCACTAGTAGATACCATGGACCATTAATTATTCTGCCCCTAGTAGGTGAGGACTTGTCAGCTAGAGCTGCTTATGTTTGAGAGAGCATGGTAGGAAAGAACATGAGGTTTGAAGTCAGTGGGACTTGGTTTATATTATGGCTCAATTAACTTGTTCTGGGACATTTGAGGAATTACCTCATTATTCTTGAAACTTAGGTTCCTTACCTGAAAGTGGAGTTAATAATATTTCTCTTCTCTACATACTAAAATTGAGCCTGACCATGTGAAAGTAGCTTCAGAGACATCATCTTTCAGTAGGAAAGAAAGATGTCATCTGTTTCAAGGATGATGTTTTTTATTTTTATTTTTTTTCTGGCACTGAATAATAATCTACCAAGGGCTCTATGACTTCCTTTTGAGAACTATTAATCATAGGTTAGTGAAAGTAGGAAAGTCTCTAGTCCTTATATAAGCACATCTTTCAGACTTAGACAATTGAGACCTGAGAAAGAAAAT